TTTTTTTCAGGTCTGATTTTCACTATTGCTCAAATAGTGCTTTACTGCGAAGGATCGTTCTCATATACGTCTCATAACCGCAGTTCACACATATGTTTCATATGTTTGTTGTTGTTTGATTTATCATCTACGGGTTTATATCGAATTAATTTGATGGCCTGCTCCCAGTTGGCTTGTTAGCTCAATTGGTAGAGCGCTGCACTAGTATCGCAGAGGTCAGTGGTTCGAATCCCGTACAGGCCTGAAATTTTTTTCAGGTCTGATTTTCACTATTGCTCAAATAGTGCTTTACTGCGAAGGATCGTTCTCATATACATATTCCTCTACCTCATCCAATAATTGTTAATTATAACATAATTTGAACGTACAGTGAAACCTTTGTTAAGTGGACACCATATTAAGAGGGCATCCTTTTTTTTAAGCAGAAACTGGCCAATTTCCCCTTATTTCCCCTAATTCTCTTTAAATTATACCCCTATTAAAGTGGCTCTAAACAGTTTCCAGCAGTTAGATCTCGATGGGTCATTGTAACCACTCTTTATCGGTTAATGCTACAATCATGGTATAAAAAAACTGCTCAATCATTGGTGAACACGTTGTTATAGTTACCATAGCAACAATATGACCTGCTTAAAAACATTCAATTACAGCTTCAGTGTCTTATAATTAAAAAAAAACAAAAAAAAACCGGAACGTTGAGAGCATGATAAGACGCAACTCTTGGCAAAGTGTTAAAAAAAATCTTTACATATGGTTCAGAGCAACCTTAACGCTTTGAAACTTTACAGTGGCTTTGAATCAATCCATAATGACGTTCAGATAATGAAGCTATAGAGACAAAAGCTATCGCTAATCAAAGCTTTATTTGCAAGGTAAAATGTTTTCGCGAAACCTGTATTTGCCTTTCAACTTACGCTTTTAACTTTAAAAATTTCCATTTTGGCTGAATGAAAGATCACCTCCCTCGCATACTTGAGCTATGACGCCTAAAATGGCTTCAAAATAATTATCCCCTGCTGGTAAAAGATGTCAAAAGCGCGGTCTAAATAGGGCAGAGAAAACTGAATTGTATACCACAATAAAATACAAATTAAAATTGTCTCGACTACCCATGAAGCTTAAGAAAGAAACCAAAAGTAAAATATGTCGCTTTATTAATTACCTGCAATTAAACAAAGAACACGTAACGACTCGCACGAGAGAGAGGGAAAGTAACTAAGATTGACATTCTCTTCTATATATGTTGCTCTATACTTGCCTGTATTTCAAGGGTCCGTGACAACTCGTTAAAGGCTTGACTGCTTTCATTCTCAAGATCTTCATTCCACTTCTGTTGGAGACTTAACTCAATGACAAGCTCTAGAATAGAAGTACACAGGTCAGTACAAAAGGTGAAGGTGACAAAACGAAAGAACATTAAGAATGCTTCAAATACGTGTTTACACAAACCCACTGATTGCATGCTTATTGTGATTGCCTGATTACTTGATTGATTGATTGATTGATTGATTGGTTGATTGATTGACTGACTGATCAAATGATTGAGTGACTTGACACTGACTAATTGTTTGAGTTGAGTGAATGAGTGACTGACCCAATGGCAGACCTTTTGAATGATTGAGTGAATAAACCACCCAGTAAGACGACCTTTAATGAAAATATGAACGATGTCACGAACATTGGGGTCTGAGCCATTGGAGAATTGGTATTCTTGTGCTTTGTCTTTTACATATCCTCTCTTGACATTAAGCTTACGAGCGCGTACGAGTAAACTTTATTAAGGAAAACCTCGACGTTGAAGCATAATGAACTTATATTTAAATTACGAAGTTCGGGATACTTGAGAGTCATTCATTTCGATTTGTTTAATTAATACGGGGCTTTTTTGTCTTTGTTTCTTTGTTTGCTTGTTTGTTTGTTTGGTTTTTGAAAGGCACCCATACAATATATATACCCAATGCAAGCTCGAAGTTTTTCTTTGATTAACAACAAATTTAAGAGAGCATTTGAGACCGTTTATCCTTGAAACTTATGACTGTTAAGGGCACCGATCATTCTTCATGTTTCTCAAGAAATAGAAAATATTATTACTTGTTTCTGGATGCTGAGTTGTTGGTTGAACAGTGGCAGTTGTGGACTTCTTATCAGATGAAGGGATATCTGTAGCTACGGACGACGATGTGGCAGACACACTATTAAATGACGTGACTCGCGTGATTCTTATTCCTTGCGATGTGCTGCTGGCTGCAGCGGCTGTTCTTGTCAATATACTTGTGGGCGAAGAAGCAGTTGTTGTACTGGCCTCGGAAACAATCAGTGTATGTGTTGTCGCATGTTTAGATACCAAAGATGATGCTAATCCTGTAGGGAAAAAATATAAATTATGACGATTTTAATTACTTCAGCATGCTTGTCAAGCAATCCAAAATATGATTACTTGTTTCTGGTTGCTGAGTTGTTGGTTGAACAGTGGTAGTTCTGGATTTCTTATCAGATGAATGGATATCTGTAACTGCGGTCGACGATGTGTCAGACACACTATTAAATGACGTGACACGCGTGATTCTTTTTTCTTGTGATGTGGTGCTGGCTGCAGCGGCTGTTCTTTTCAGTGTACTTGTGAGCGAGGTAGCAGTTGTTGTATTGGCCTTGGAAGAAATCATCAGTGTATGTGTTGTCGCATGTTTAGATGCCGAAGATGATGCTAATCCTAAAGGGAAAAAATGCAATGCAAATTATGATCATCTTAATTCAGTTAAAAGACGCATTTTATCGTTGCTCTGAATAAACAAAGGTTTCCATGCGTAAGCAGCGTCTCCTGCGGAAGAGAACAAACTTTTGATAGAGCGTTTTCACTCGCATGGCCAGAAGCCATGCACATGCAATGCATCAAATGTAGCTTTTTACATAAAAAATGTTTTCAAATAAATCACGCCTATAAGCAATTCTTAACCGTTTATGACGTGAGTTATATAACTTCCACCAAACACCAATACATTTCAACGACGAAACAACTGTCGATACAAATTGCCACCTAGAGATGTTTGAGTGTACCTTTTTCGCAATTTTCTCCCGTAAATCCCGGTGGGCAATTACAAGAGTAACTGTTGACACCATCCTCACACGATCCACCATTACTACATTTGTGATTTATACAGTCGTCGATGTCTGCAAAGGAATAGCATGGATAAAAGTAGATATAAGTCTGATAAGTCTAATAACTACAGATACGGCTTGCCGCCTGGAGCTGTTTGGGTGTACCTGTTTCACAGTTATTTCCAGTAAATCCTACCAGGCAGTTACAAGAGTAGCTGTTGACACCATCTTCACACGATCCACCGTTACTACAAGTGTGATTAATACAGTCGTCGATATCTGCAAACGGAATAAAAAAGATAAAAAGTAGATTCAAGTCTTATAAGTCTAATAATGACAGATATGGCTTGTCGCCTAGAGTTGTTTTAGTGTACCTGTTTCACAGTTATTTCCAGTAAATCCCACTGGGCAGTTACAAGAGTAGCTGTTGAAACCATCTTCACATGATCCACCATTACTACAAGTGTGATTTTCGCAGTCATCAATATCTGCAAACGGAAGGTCTCTGATCAAAGGAGGATAAATACATCCTAGCAGTAGCCTTACTACATATGAAGAGTTGAATAAACGCCTGTGAGCACGAATTTCAAAGGAACAAGAAGAGCTTTATTTTTAAGCATCTTTCTGAAACTAGCCTCATTAAACTTCCCTTCAACCAAATCAAACTTCTGACACCTTATTGACGTGTGTTAGATTGTGTTACATATATGCGATCAAAAAACTACAACAGCAGTGACCAAAACAAGGAAAACGACAAAGAAAAGAGAAGAAAAGGATCTACCTAGTCCACAGTAATTTCCAGTAAATCCCAGTAAGCAGTTACATGAATAATTGTTGATACCATCTATGCATGATCCGCCATTGCTGCATTTATGATTAACACAGTCGTCAATGTCTAGAAACAGAATGTTAAGATTGGAGATTAAATTACGATTACTATTCTTTTCTTTAAAGGCAGTGACAAAAGCCACCACATAATCAGAAATAACTAAACTCACCTCTCTTGGAGAGAAAGAGAGAAAATTTAAAGAAGCGTTATGTTTACTCCTTAGCTACGTCTCTGACAAAAATCAGAGAAAACCTTGAAACTAACGCGTCCTCCAAGAAACAATGAAGTCAACACCAATTTGAACACACTCACATTTGTACCAGAAATACTATCAGCAATGGCGAATTTGTTCTGTGAATCAATTACGTGTAAATTTGTCTCTATGACCAAGAGCAACTGAAAATAAATTTTTTAAACGTTTAGGCTATTGCCGTTTTCTTTCCCAAAATGAGATGAAAACCCCTCATTTCAACAACTTGACGAATTTTTAGCAAAAGTCGATAATACGTGTCTGGGAGGAGAAAAGGCGAGTCTCGGTTCACGTCCGTCTCTCAGACACGTCTTTGCTTAACTCCCTTATAATAAAACTCTGGTATACGCCAGCCTACCATTTTCACAATGATCACCCGTATATCCTGCTGGGCAGCTACATGAGTAGTTGTTGATACCATCCACACACGATCCACCATTACTACATGCGTGATTAACACAGTGGTCAATGTCTGGCAAAAAAAAAAATGACATCAGTATAAGTTTATTCAAATTTTCCAGCATCGACAAATGCGTAGTCAATTGTCTTAGGATTAAGTCCCTTGACCAACCCTTTATCATACGAAAATCATGGTGATCCTTTGTTTGTCTGACATTTCGAAATGTTATAATTTGACTTGAGATCAAAGGACGAGAAGACACTCCAGTCCGCATCTCGTGGATGAGAAACTGCTAATACTAGTTTCATTTGCAAGACGCCTATAGCAATATGTAGAGTTTTAATGGCTAGTATGTCGTTAGGGCAATGGCATGTCCGAATAACACTGGGGCTGATGACTGAAGTTCTTAGTCACCTTGAGTCGTCATCATAGTCAGATAAAAAGTTGTTTTGTCTGCCGATGATTTTGAAGCCCCGTTTATTCTTGGCTACTGTAAGGTGTTGGCATATTTTAATGATGTTATTTGTAAATAGGTGCGTCGGCTTTCAAGACAGTCGTTGAGAATATTAGTTTGTAGTACCAATGCTACATTAAGAAGAGAAAGAGTCTTTATTGTTTAGCAATATAATTGCTGAAAGTGACGCTTAAGATGAGATGCGCTCAGTCTGCGAGTAATTTATTCAAACTACCCTCCCCTGGACTCACTAGACGAACATCGGATGTTCGTAACCAGTTAGGTTACATTTATTGATCGTTTATCTACCAGAAATTATTTGACTGGATTTAAAATGTTCTCTCTCCTATGTATACTTCCGTTACATAAAAGTGAAAGCCTCTCCGTCTATTTGTGCGCTATTAGATGCTTGCTAGATTCCGCAATGCAGAGAGAGAAACGAAACGAAAGGGCAAATATATTGCAAGCAAAAGAAAAATAGATGTCAAAGCTGAAAACCTAAACCAAACTAACAACGACAAAACAACAATTGCACAAAATCAGGATAATGCAGTGCTTCTAGAAGTTAGTATCAGAATTAAGGACAGTTTCGTAGCATTCCGACCAAGATGTCTTCTTGACATGCATTTAACTGGCCTAAATAGTACGTTTCCAACTTTCGTCCCTGTTCGATTACCTTCACAATTCTTTCCATCACCACTGAATCCAACTGGGCACGGACCACAGCTAATTGTGTCGCTGTTTTTGAAGCAGGTCACGTTGGGGTAACAGGAGTCGATGGTACAATCAGCGATTTTAATGTCGCAGCGCAGACCAGCAAAACCCACGTGGCAGTTGCACGTGTAGTTATTGACGTGGTCAATGCAAGTTCCTAATGAAAAGACAAGGTTCTTGCTATTATTGACGAACGACAAGGACAAAACAATATACACATTTTTGTTGATTCTGTTTGTAAGGCTAGCTAAATAGAAAGACGAGCTGGTGTGGAATGAACAACATTAACCTTAGCAACCTTCTTTAAAATACAACATACCCCTTCCCTGAGGATACCAACGGGGGCACGCGCTTATTATAGTTGTATAGATGGCAATGCATCGATGCATGCTTCAGGGACTTACTTACGAACTTTACAACTTAATCCTTCTGAACAGCAGTAAGCCATAATTAAATTTAAGAAGAGATTTGATTTTCAAAGGTATGCTTTGACGGACTATTTCTTTCATCTTTAGATATAAATTGTACAACCATCTAAATGGAATTTTTGATAAGTACACAGATGTACTAATGACGATGTCTTATGAGAGACTATAAATGGCGATTTCAATTCATATTGTAGAATATAAATGATATCTTGGGAGGGGGTATGCATTAACATACCGTTGCCACAGGGAGAAGAAAGGCACTCGTTGATTTTCTCTTCGCATTTCACTCCTGTAAAACCAGCTGGACAGATACAAGTGTAATTATTGATCATATCCAGACATGTTCCTAAAAAAGATGCCAAAAAGGCGATCAGTTTTTATTTTGAAGTATACCAATGGGATGGAAATAGATTTACGTCTTCTTCGAGTACTTACACTCGGCCCGTGTCAAAGTAGGTAGTTCAAGAAAGGTAGCATCACTTCTAACGTTTTGTTGAAACCAGTTACCACAATATCATTACTGAATCATCATTTTTTTTTCCTGAGGACCTCAACTAGGATAGGCGCATGAGTTCGCATGCCGTGCCGTATAGAAATCCTGACTAAATATCCTAATACCTCCCTCCTACCCTTACAGTTTCTTTAATTTTTTCAAAATATTATTATAATATTACTAGAAGACAATACTTTGTCCCTAAAAGTATGCTTACCACGAATGCAAGGAGACGACTGACATTCGTCTATTTCGTCTGCACAGTCACGGCCAGTATAGCCATCCTGACAATGACAAGTGTAGTTATTAACCTGATTGACGCAGTTTCCTAGAAAAGATAAAAAATTGAGATCAATCGCACAGAAACATTTACCCCTGTTTTACACAAGTCTAAACTTAATTTTAAAGAACAAAAGACGTTATGTTTCAGCCTTTAATCATTCACATGCACGTAAACTTAGCATAGCCCCTTAAAATTTCCCCTCCTTATTAGTCTTAATTCCGCACTGCCCACTAGCTTTTGTTAGGAATAGAAGTAGTATTTCCCTTACCATGTCTGCATGGTGAAGATTCACATTCATTAATGTCAATAGTGCAGTTGGGCCCACTGTATCCAGGATCACAGGTGCATCTGTACGCGCCAGTGTAATCCGTGCATTTTCCTAAAAGCACGAATCGAGAATTCAAGCACAAAGATGGAAATTTTAAAAACGAGGTCACGCAACTCACATTGCAGCAATAAGCAAATGCTGCAGCAATGTCAAGCCAGCTCATGGATCGACCGCGCGCTACTTAAGAAATGTAAAGAAGTAAGGTTTTGTATCAAATACACCAACTTGAAAACAAAATTTAAAGGTGAGAATCTTTTAACCATGCCGTATACCAGTTGCTATTCTATCTATCTTATGTGCCTCTTTCAAGGGACAATGTCATTTTTCAGCAGAAAACTGCTCTTTTCACGATGGAGGCCGCATAACAGTATTTAACCGTATTTTAAGAATTCCATATTTAATTGGTTATAGTTCACATTAATCCTCTTGTTAAACCCCATCCTCTCTCAGATACTTTCTCTTACATCTTCTACTCTCCTCCGAAGTTTTCCACCCCAATCTTGCTGTACTTAAAGATTTGACTAAGCGAGCCTTAAAAGTGTTCGCCCTTTCTCGGTTCTTCCATGGTCGGAATGGTCCTTTTTTTTTTTTTGTATACTCAGTCTCTTATGTTGTGAGTATTAGTTCCATCGTAAAAAACAACAACAACAACAACAACAACAAAAATACAAAAAAAACTACACAGCACTGACCATGAACGCAAGGAGAAGAGCTGCAGTCATCATAATCAATGTCACAGTTGCTTCCAACATATCCAGGATCACAGATGCAGGTGTACTTGTTAAGTCCATCAATACACCGGCCTGGTAGTAATTAAAATTGATATAATAACAGGTCAAATAACATTCCTGTGTTGAATCCTAGACAACAAAGAGCCAAACAGTAGCAGAAGAATAGACTACGAGGTAACTAGATTGAAACTTTAATATTCAGAGCTATGGAGGACAGCAACATGATGTTAAAGATTTTCGAACATGACGGACGGTAAAGCAGTCCAACAAACCCTCATACCCTAGCATACATTTCGGAAATGAACTCGTATGAAATTATATTTTGCAACATTACTCAGATTCTAATTCTTTCTCAGTTGTTTTTAGTCTTTACTTTCCTCAGTAGATTTTTAAGAAATCTGCTTTGCTCCTGTAAATCCCTTTAATTGAACCTGCATGCAACGTAACATTCCAAGGTTTATCGAAGAACAAAAATGTCACATAAATCAGTACTAGCCATAAAAACAAGAGCCGGTGCTGCGCTAACAATCGTTTGCCATACCTCGAAAACATGGATAAGAAAGGCACTCATCAATGTTAGTCTCGCATTTCTCTCCGGTATATCCAGGTAAACACTGACAGTCGTAAAACCCTGATCCCCTGGGCTTGTTTGGATGAGGTACACAGCTTCCATTGTTCTCACACTGGCAGACGACCAAGGATACGGTGATATTAACGTAAGAGGTAGCTTGGCAAGCATCCGTGGCTTTCAGGAAGAACGGTGTTTTCGCATCATTAGTGGCGTTCCATATCAACACGTTATCGCGCACTGTAGCCTTGATTGGGCTTCCGTCCATTAGTGAGACTGTGACAGGCATGCCTTCAGGGTCTACGAAGTCAATAGTTAGCTCGAGGATCTCGCCAAGTACTGCGAAGTAGTCGATGGCCTTTGAAAATCGTGGAGGAAGATTGACTAGAAAAATAAAAAAATACATATGCATTTGGTTCTTAGTTGTGATCTCTTGGAAGATAGACTTGTATATGAGGCCACTGATGCTTTATTTTTGGTTCTTTCTTTATTATGAAAAAACAAGTCAATTCCCATTTTGCTATGCTTCCGATTAGTGACAGATCACAGAAAACGTCAAAATGTAAAAATAAGCATTCAATGAAGGAGCCCGAGAGAAGCAGTGAGTTTTGTTTCCTCGAGACCCTCTGTGTTTCCTTAAGCGGGGCCTGGGAGAACATCGGGGTATAGCAAGACCATCTGTGACACTCTAACGCAACGGCTGGTGCGCCACTTTATTTGTTCATTTCCTGGAAGATATTTTCTTTTTAGCTACCCTGTATGTAGTTATTTCACCACTTTTTGACGCCATCTGTGGTCGATTTAACAATTAAATTACATACGCCGAAGATCTGGCTACGCGTGATTCTTGACGAGGGCACAGCGTGAGTCAATTATCACTCTTAGATATGGAGAAAATTAAAAATACAAAAACTATTTTGGTATATATCTCTGTACCATAAATCCTCGAATTAGCGCCTCCCCTCAAATAAGCGCTCCCTTTTGAATAAGCGCCCCTTCTATAGGTCAAAATTTAAAATAAGAGTCTCCACTCAAATAAGAGCCATTTCGTCTCTCTCCCAGTTTTATGGAAGAGTACTGAAATAACAAAGGACTTACAGTTTGGTCGTGTTCAGTCACAAACAAGTGATTATCGACTTATTCAGGCGCTGCACATTGACCTTCGCAACAACAAGTGAAGATCTGCTAATTAGTTGCCTAATATAAAGCCCAATAATTTGGATATAGAGCTTGTGTAGCTCCATTTTCTGCCTTTAAAAGCACACACAACCCACAATTCCTCTATTCGCTCCGACGAAGGGCTAACGCTCGAAACGTCAGCTTCTGTAATCGTTACGGTAACCAATTTACCATTTCAACTTCGTTGATATATAGAAATTCTGCTTTACATAGATGCCGTGTGTGTTTTGTCGATTCAGACGAAGAAATTGCGACAACCATTTCGGAAGGATTGAAGTGATTTTGCTTGCCGCAATTCAGGGGACAAGCTATTCCAGATAACCGCACCGTTATAGCCGTTATAACCGCAACCTTTTGCGGTAGTCCTACACCGGATATAGCCGTTATATTACGTAGCTCTGATAGAGACAGAATCCATCTGAGACTTCTGAGGGACTGACACGTTTATATTAAAAAAAAATCCCGATGATACCTGACCACGATTTGGGAAAAAATCAATAAGTGCCCCCGTCCTCCCCTCAATTTGGAATAAGCGTTCAGAGCGCTAGTTCGAGGATTTACGGTACTTGTCGTTCAAAATCGAGAGCGAATAATCTAATTGTTTAAGTATAAATCTTTTAGTCGTTCAAAACTTTATCTAAATCCTCTTCACAGACACTTCGAAAACGTCAAGAAGCGGGTGTTATTTTGTCAACAAGAACACACTGCTACGCCACTCACTTTCTATTACAGAATAGATAGTGAGTAGCGTAGCGAATCAGAGAACGGCATTTGTGATTGAACGCGAGAAGATTTATACCAAAACGGATAGATTTTGAGTAGCGTAGCCAATAAATGAAGAGGATTCGTGATGTAGCACTAGTAGAGTTATACTGATAATGAAAAGACGCACGACATCGTGGAATCACTTTTTGAAATGATAATTACCTTGACGCTCCGACCATGCCTTAGTGCTGACATGTGGAAGGCATTGATAACACCAGTCGATTGGATTTGTCTCGTTTGGGGCGAAGCAGTACCCATTTATCAGGCACGAATTGTTCTTTTATGCGAAAAAACAAAGAAAAGAAAAACAGAACTGTAAAACGTGGTGAATGAACGATCCCTTAACTTTACAACAGGTCTTAAAGTATAGTGTATTGATCAATCTCATTTGACTTAGGCACTGAAATAACGAAAGAGAAGCTGTATTAATTCCTACTCGAAGCATGTGGCTATTTCGTCATTAAGGACGTTTGCGCGAAAATGTTCCAGTCCAAAGGTTTTTTTTTTAGAATTGTATTGCAGTCAGACAATGAGTTATTCGTGTCAGAAATGCGAAAAAAAAGTTAGGGTCACATTCTTCTTCTCGGAGATAAAGCTTCGTAGCCTAACATTTTACATAATTAGTTAATTTGGATAGATGGCAGCAGTTCGTTTTGAACGTTTAACTCGATCTTAAAGCAAATTTGGATAGACAAAGTCCCTTCCGTCTCATACCAAACCAATTATAAGAGGGCTAGTCCACAATTCAAGATGCACGATTGTATCCGGAGAATAAAACACGTTACAATGGAATAGTGATCGATATTAGCTAGTACCAAAATTCCCTTACCTTGAAATGACATTCAGTAGAAACATTGCAACTCATGCAAGCTGAATCGTAAGATATAAATGTGAGATTTTTATGGCTTTTGTGCTCCCCGTCGTTAGAAACAGATATATGCAGGCCAGCAGCTGAGGTTCCCGCATTGTTTTCGTCAAAATACCCTTGCGTCACTGGTAATTCAGGTAAAGAACAGTCTGTAAGCACCAAGTCTGTCATTATACCAGGGAATTCACGTTCCGCATTGTTTGGTTTCCAGGAACTGTCGATAACCTGCATATGTTTGTGGGAGAAGAGGGTAAATAATGGGCTATCATCATATTATTTTGTTGTCTATCTAAGCAATAATCGTTTATATATACAGCGTAAGAAATCAAATCGTAATTGAGGTCTTCCCGAAATTTCAGGCCAAATAAAATAATCAACAGAACAAAGAACTCTAAGCATTTGACATCATGGTAGTTATATGTAGAACTATGCAACATCGGTAACTTGAGCAGTTGCAAAAATAAAGCCCGAGAAAGGAATTTTTACCATCATTATGTTACATTAAGCTGCAAAGATGGAAATTCTTTACGGTTGTTAAATATCAGCGTTTTCCTGTCTCGTTTTAGTCTCTTAATTAAGATACCTCCGCCTATGGCTGTTTTTTACATCCATTTTCTTAGAACAGTATAACATGAGGTTTCTTTGTTAATCCAGGTCTGTGTTAAAAAATGCTCACCTTAAATTCCCTCACATGACAGGTTAGGTTTGTAGAATTTAGGAAACCAGTTCCCAAGACCGTTACCTTCCTACACGGGCGCTTACGTCTATCGCACAAACCATTCCCTTGCAAGCTACAGTTTTTAAAAGACAAAGCAATCGTCATATTTTATCGAATTTACATTAACACTGAAAATACTTTAAATCATGTGATGTGATGTGATTTTGAGCGTTGAATCATTTTGTGCCTCTGCTTCAAAACGAGTCATTGCGCAAAAACTTTTAAATAAAAAGGAATTTGATTTGCATGAAAAAAATCTGTCTGGGGAAAACATTTTCATATGAACGGTTTTGCACGAAGACTCGTATTGGCACAGATGCAAAAGGCAACTCGGAAAAAGCCTATTACGCTGGTTGATTTCTAGAACTTCAAATTATCCTAGAGTCACTACTCTACTTTTAAGCATGCACCGCATGGCTGCTGCGCGTGCGATCAAACCTGATTTACATTGCTGTCAGAGGTGCATCAGTTAAATTGTATATTGGTTTTGATTGAGTGTGGGAAGAATAATATTATTATCTCATCTTCTTCCACAGCTAGCTGTGTTTATATTATTTCCAGACAAATAATATTGTAGGAAAATCGATTACCTGACGAGGGAATTCCGCGTAAAATTGCACACGAAAACTGAATCGCGAAGCGATGAGTGGGATATCGGTTTTCAAGTACAATTTAACGCGGAATTCACGAGTCAGGTAATCGATTTTCCTTGAATCGCACAACTGAATGAAAATAAGAAAACAAGTGGATACGAAACAATTTCACTTAGCCTCGTTTTCAACTCGCAATTCCACGCTAAATACCTCGCTTCGTTAACCAATCAGAATGCGAGATTTTATTCAATGATGCGACTATTTTAAAAATTCAAGATGGCGTACACCAAGGTGGAAAATTTATTCCAAAGGATTTGCCTGCTCATTACATAAATGGAATTATCTATCTTTCATACTAATAGATACAGAAGGCGAGTCTCTGAGGACGTCTTCCCCTCCACTCTCCCTGATCAGATAAATCCCCTAAAAACCTCTCTGAATAGAGGTAAAAAATCCATTATAAACATAGAAGAGGCACGAACTTCTTTTGCCAAGAAGAAAAATTAAAAATCGATCTCCTTCAGAAAAGCAACAAAAAAAATTGTTATTTTGTTTGCCGCCAACACTGACCTGGAAATTGTTGGGATTTGATAAATAGACGCCGAACAGTCTTCAGCAGTGTAGGCCTTGTTGCAAACGCAGGATCCATTGATGCATTTACCATTAAACGTACAGTCATTGGGACAAAGCAGTTCACTGATCTCGTCTACTGAAATAGAGTTTTCTTCGCCACTGCCATTCGAAGATTGAGACATATTTATGGCTGCCAAATTACCACAGTCGTTCATTAAGATAGCAACGCTGCCAGTTGCGAAAGATAAGTCTCCAGTCAACTGTTGAGAAAATAAAAGAACAATCACCTTTATAGAAAAAAAAAATTGAAAGAAAACAGATACACTATTCTATCAAACGAAAATTAGCTTTGCTTTCCATGCTGCCAACTCATTTTTTTGGCTAAATAAAAGCACATCAGTAATTTATATTAAAAGAACATTCCTATAATTAGGATGCAAACCAAAAGAAATAGAAAGTTTGGGAAACATCCCATTCGTACCGTTGCCAAAATTACTCACTCAGATAATTTTTTGTTGTTCACTTACCTCGACATCAGCTGAACATGTATTTACCAATGCTTGCACATTGACTCCAACTTCAGCACAGAGCTTACCAATCTCAGTCTCCGAAATTCTCTCGGCACAATAGCTGGTCGCGTTTTCCTTTGATAATTGTCCAACTTGCGACGCCCTTCTATAGCGGGGTTGTAACTGGGGAGTTTGTTTAAATATCTGAACATCTTCCTCTGTCAGATCATCAGTGTAATGGACATCTCTTTTGTCTCGGTCGCACAGAAACATTGGTGACAAATTCTTTTTCATTGCAGTCGGAAAAGCGAGCTCAAAAGAATTTTTGCAGTCTCTGGTGTTGCACAAGCATGCCTCGGAATAGGTAACAAGCTTATCTTCTAGATCAGGAGGGAGTGTGTCGAAGTAACTTTGTCCGTTGATTAGTCTGGAAAAATTTAAATGAAACGAAACATTTGTTAAAAATATTGTCATCCAAATTGTTCAAAAAAGAAATCGAAATTTTTCTCAGTTATATAGACAAAATTTGAATAGTTTTCTTGTTGATGTTCTATTTTGTTTCCTTAGGCTACCTCTTTTTTTACTTAGGCTACCATGCATAATATGATAAAAATGCATTTGTTGATGATGTAGAGAGCAAACGAAATATAATATTCAGGAAAGATTGGGTGAAAAAGACGGCTATAGCCACATAAATTTGGCTGCTCCACCACAGATTTTTCAGCGCACAGAAGACGCAGAAAGAGAAAACGAAAACACATTTCAGCCTCAAAATTGGGTTTGTAGGACTCTGTAAAGTTTTATACGTTACAATCGAATCTCATCTGCCACTTCAGTGAAGTTCTCAATTCTGATCCGTCCATTTCATTTGAACACGACCTATTCTTCAGTCTTGAGTATGACAGCCGTTGAGAGGCGATGTTCCTATTTCCTTAGAAACCTTTACCTTTTATACAATGTTGCAGAACTGAGATGACTTTAAAGAAGTTTATGCGAAAAAAGAAAGTGAACAACGCGCCTCAAATTTTGCCGATTTTAAGCCTAAACTTTATTATAACTTGAAACGCGAAAAGCAAAGAGAAGAAATATTTTAAACAGTACAGTACATTAAGTCCAGAATATTTGTCAATGTCTCATTCCATGTTAATTTCCCTTTCAAATTGTCAGGTATTGATAGCCGAATAGGGTGCGAGATCAACCCTGGCTATCAATTATAAGGAAACGTGGTTCATTTAGGAAATAATTTATGTTTATGTATTTTAAACGAAGTATTTTCCTTGTTGGTTTGCTTTTAACGACCATGATGTTTGTTTTACCTTAAGTTGTTTCCGTATGTATTTACATTTTTACTCCAGTCGTACAAACAAAGTCCGGTTTCATGTGCTTTATTTTTCGCCCTCGGTGTGTACACGTTGACATCGATTCCCCAGGAGTTTCTGAATATGGCAACTTTGGCTCCGGATGGAAATAACACCTGAAAAGCAAGAAATTCATATATTGTTATGGGCGCGTATTATCAATGGCAATTATTACCTTATTGGCCCTTCTTAACGATTTAATCCTCGGACTGACAATGGGGACGGGTTCATAATATTCTAGGTACCTGCATACAAGGGGAAGAAACGCGGAAACGTGGAAACACGTAGTAATTGTTTCCGATAAAAAAGTCAAAAAAGGAAGTTAAAAAACCAATAAAGGAGTTTCACATACTCTTGCTTCCTTGTACTCGATCCTTTACGTCACATGCGCTAGTACTTACATGTAAATAAAAGGCATGTGTAGCTCAATACCCGCGCATGGTTGTAAAAACCTGTCTTTAATCCAAGATTTCTCGACTACTTACCGCACAATTTGGATATATCAACAAAGTTGAAATGGTAAATTGGCCACCGTAACGATTACAAAAGCTGACGTTTCGAGCGTTAGCCCTTCGTCGGAGCGAATAGAGGAATTGTGGGTTGTGTGTGCTTTTAAAGGCAGAAAATGGAGCTACGTTATTGGTGGGAACATGGCAAAAGAGAAAAACACGAATAAATTAGTGGAATGAAAAGCGTTCGTTGATCCCTGTGGGATTTAGACTGCCGGTTTGAAAGATGAGCTTTTGTTCAAGAGTTTTACGGCTTMCCGTGCTACCTAAGTGTAAGGAAAGACCGCAGATTGCCATATGTTGCTTAAAACGATTAGGTAAATTAAAATGTCTAGCGACTGGTTTCGATGTGTCCTACTTGCGCCCAGTTTCTTCTAAGCACTTGGTCGCTCATTGGCGATTCATTAATATAAACGTTTTAAAAATTGTTTTCAAGTACCTTGTATAATGGTAAGTTGCTTAAGAGCGAACGTTTGAATTGACCGAGTTAAAATCGGAAAACGTGGCACATGATCGAAAAGGTAAGAACCTTTATATTTTTCCCAGAGATACCTTATAGCGAGCTTAGAAACGTGGTAAGGTTTTTTTTGTTTTTTTGTTTTTAATTTTTTTCTTTACCAGACTTGCTTCTTTATCCTAGAAATTCACCAAAACTGAAACGAGCGTCGGTAGCCGTAAAATGGCGAAAATCAGTGCCCCGAGTAGAGGCAAAAGAACTTTGCTCGTGAAAAGTGCAAAAGAAAGCAAGCTCGCATCAATTTGACAAACTTTTATAGGAGGGATTGATGTATGGCTTAAGTCTAAAACGGGACCGTTTCATTTAATTTTGACATCACGAAACGCTTTTAAAAAACACCAAATGAATATTTCAAAATCCAAATATCGCATTTTGTAGCACATTTTCAATTATCATTTCCACTATGCGGTATAACTCAGAATCGGTTCAGGTTAAGCTCATGATAAGTGGAAATAGTGTTGTTGCGAGGATATAAAAAATAACTTTGGGCTTTTCATTTCCGCACGGAAAAATCAGGCTGAACTTTGTAAAAATCGCAACATCGTCATTTACCTCACGACATAATCTAATTAGGCACCCCGTGGTTAGATCTTGAATTCCAAGCACAATTTAGAAGTTAGCACCGTGGTCGATCAGGAAATTAATACAGCAAGCTAGCCGTACATAGCTAACCACGGCAGATTGGTTTTAATCTCTGCTTTCGTTTCAATTTCGCATCCATTTCCCATGGCGGAATTGTTTACAATAACACATTTCTTAAACTAGCGGAGGGCGTCTGTTTTTCTTTGGGTATTCGACTACCTATACGTCTTAAGAAAGTTCTGGGGTAAACTTGAGCTTGATTGTGGACTTGAAAGAGGACGATTCAATAATTTATAACGGCAGGTCAAATGTTTTTTGCCGAAGACGTTGAAGACGGGAAGCTATCTGTGTGTAGATGTGACACACTCAAGCATTTGTCACGCAAGGCTGAAATTATTTCGATCTTTTTCTCACTTGTAATTTTACGGCCACGAATATCGATGAATAGCGTTTTTTAACAAACTTGTTTATATGATAATTTTTCTTATCAGCTAGTCATTGCTGTGGAACTTGTTAACTTAGCAGCGGGAATCTCATGTAGAGTTGATTGTACTAGTGACATTACCTAGAAGAGCTAATAAGGAGAACACAAAACAACAAATACCTGTGGACAGGTAGATGAAAGAATAATATAACTGTTTCAATGTGTGAAGATTTACAAAATACCTTAATTTATGAATAATTGCCATATTTTTTACTAATTCACTGTTAATGTGTTGAATCTACGGTCCCCAGTGTAAATTTTGGTCAATGTAGATAACTAAATACTTAATTTGAGGTTTGCGGGCAATGTTAGGAATATGAATAAGGGATCTTAATCTTGCAGATGAAATTACCATATAGCCGTAATATACCAATATTACCTTGGAACATTTTACCTCGTGCTTGCGTAATCGCAAGTTTGTCTTATTTGTAAAGGTGTGGTCGTTAACTCGATCGAATAAATTTTGCTTAGCGTACTAATTGACATTCCTTTTTTTTAGATTTTGACGTTCAAAAAGTGTTGAATTGGTGTCAGTGACGTTTTATACACCTATTAATCGCAGCTTCAATATCCGGGCAACCCACAGACTTTTGACTATCGTCCTTTGAACCATATCTGGGTGGGGTAGGGAGTTTAAACCGGAAGCGTCAGGTCTTACTGGTCAGCAAACATCTTTTTTGGCAGCTATCAACTAATTAATCATAACAAGGATGTCCAATATCGAATATTAATTATTGGTAACGGTGCTACTCTCTTATTTGCCAAGGAATATTGGTGGTTTACCTTTTAATATGGAGGTACTTAAAGCGGATGGCTTTAAAATATAGGGGCTGCTGTATGGTCTAGGTTTTGGAGCTTGAAGAGTCTCATCAATTGCTGATCGTGCCTTTTACAAAACATCTGACAATGTAATGAGGGTCTCAATGGAAAGATGGCTTTCACGGCTAACGGTTACATCTTTTAGCCATCTTATACAGCTAATGAGAATTTTTTTACGGTTACATTATTTTTAGGACTTACAGTTAAAATTTGTCAACTTTTATGCCTAACAACTATTTATTGCCGTTTTACGGCTAACAGTTAACCCCATTGAGAACCACTAAGATCTAGCACCTGAGCGTGGTATTTGAACATGATTTTGGCCTAGGGGGGCTGGAACCAATCTTCAAAAGTTAGAACTCCTGAGGGGAGGCCACGTTGAAGGTTTGAATTGATCGCTGCATCATTTTTTCTTCTAGCATAATACTTTCAGTATCCCTCCACCTAACGATGTCATCTGTTTGATAATAACCAACGTGAAAAATCGTGCCACATTGTCATCTTCTTTCACTCACGACTGAGTCTAGTGATGTTCCGTTAAAAATAGTTAACGTATGGGTTTTAAACGGAGGGGGGAGGGGGTGGGTCGAGTCCCCCCACAGTTGTATCTCTGCTTTTCAGTGAAACACTCTTCCAAGGTAACATATTCAATATTTATCTAATTAACAAGTTTTTTAAAAGTGTTTTTTTCGGGGTCCAAACAAATGGCAAGAAGGGAACAATCCAATGTGTTTTTGTCATTGTAGATATTTCGACCTTGCGTGACAAACGTTTGCGTATGTTGAATTCATAGTAGTATCAGATAGCTTTCCGTCTTCAACGTCTTCAGCAAAGAACATTTGACCTGCCGTTATAAATGATTGAATTGTCCTCTTTCAAGTCCACAATGAAGCTCAAGTTTACCCCAGAACTTTCTTAAGACTTATAGGTAGTCGAATACCCAAAGAAAAACAGACGACCTCCGCTAGTTTAAGGAATGTGTTATTGTACACAATTCCGCCATGGGAAATGGATGAGAATTTGAAACGAAAGCAGAGATTAAAACCAATCTGTCGTGGTTAGCTATGCAAGGCTAGCTTACTTTATTAATTTCCTGATCGACCACCGAGCTAACTTCTAAAATAAGCTTGGAATTCCGGATTTAACTACGGGGTGCCTAATTAGATTATGTCGTGAAGAAAATGACGATGTTGCGATTTTTACAAAGTTCAGCCTGGTTCTTCCGTGCGGAAATGAAAAGCTCTAAATTACTCTTTATATCCTCGAAAACAACACTATTTCCACTTATCATGAGCTTAACCTGAACCGATTCTGAGTGACACCGCATGGTGAAAATGATAATTGAAAATGTGCTACAAAATGCGATATTTGGAGTTTGAAATATTGGTGATTTTTAAAAGCAATCCGTGATCGATGTCAGAATTAAATGAAACGGTCCCGTTTTAGACTTAAGCCATACCTCAATCCCTCCTAGACAAATTTGTCATGAAGCAAGTCTGGGAAAAAAAAACCTTACCACGTTTCTAAGTTCACTATAGGGCATCTCTGACTGAAATATGAGGATACTCATTTTTCGGTCGATGTGCCACCTCTCACGCATTCTTGAAAAAAAGTCACTCTTAATAGAGCAACAAAAGACAAAGTAAAAACACCTTTGAAAATTTTGTAAAAGAGTGAAATAACGGGCTCTTATAATCTATCAAAATTGTATTAACAAACCTTATAATAGACACTCACCTCGTAGTCGATATTTCGACCATTTATCATTTTGTTTATGGATATTCCCGGTGACAAACATTTTTTGCCCCGTATTTTCACCGTTATTGGAGTTGTACTGTCACGGGTAAGAAGGTCGTTGCAGCAGCTGAACTCAATAACATTATTATGGTCTCTCACAACTGCACCACAATTGCAGGTAGGGAAGCCGCCACAACGCCACTGCCTCGTTTGAACCTATTTAAAAAACTGTGTCAATCAATCACGTATATTATGCAACAACTTATATAGAAACACCAATGAGTGCAGTTTACGTAGTAGTGGAGCTCCTGCTCTCCAAAGGCGCGCGAGCTGAACCCAATACCTTAAAAAGTTTTGTAAGCTATTGATCTAAAAACTTTGGTTGTCGCGTAACTGTCCGTACGTAGGTCTGTACGTACTTCCGAACGTCCGCATGTCCGTACGCCAAGCCCCATACCTTGACAAATAAGAGAGTAGCACCATTACCAATAATACATACTCGATATTGGACATCCTTGTTATGATTAATTAGTTGATAGCTGCCAAAAAAGATGTTTGCTGACCAGTATCACGTGACCATATCGCGGGCCTAGGTTAATGATTCATCTAGGTCGATTGTCTTTTTGAAGTTAACGATGTACTGGTTTTTCGATGGGATCGCGACCCACCTCAAAGTTCCTCTCCATATTCTTGTACAAGATATAATCACCGCGCCCCATAAAATCGAACCATCTGAAATTTAAGGTTAACTGTTAATCAATGTTTCTGTCTGTATCAATTAATTAAATAGTTAATTAATTAACTGATTGATCGATTGAATCTATTTTTTTTTTGTTGAGGTTTTTCCATTCTCAACTGGCTTGTAAGCAACATGTTTCCACTAGAAAACCGGGAAATAAATTGCAGCAGGATCATTTTTTGAATAACTTGGGTTACGATAGCAAGTTATGAAATGTTGTTGTTGCTGTTGTTTCCCCCCAAAAACCGTTAGGACTAAAATGATGATAATGATGATAATAATGACTATAATAATAATAACAATAATAATAATAGTTATTATTATTATTACTATAGTAATAATTGTCTTTCTGACATGAGGACAGTGTCTCTGATCATTCTGTCGTAACTTACACGTCAATAAATTGTTAAGGACCTGAAGCGCCTACTCATCATGTTTTTTTTTTCGGGGGGAAGCAGGGGTGGGAAGGGGAGGGACATTGTCAAAAAATAAGTTATTTCCACTCAAAAAAGGGTTTAGTTCCAATTTCACTCCAAAATCAAACCCCTTGAACTGCGTGCAAAAAGAATGTGGGATGGATGTCTTCCGAAGATAACAGATCACATGACATGGGGAATCCTCACCCAATCTACTCCGAAAATAAAAATATACCAACCTTCCACGTCCTCGAGGATGCAAAACACTATAATGAGGATCTGTAACAGATTTGCAATGCTCTATAGTTGAGTTTTTTATAACGGTAACCTAAAAGAACAAATAAAAGAGAGACGTTAAAGCATATCAAGTCCTCATTTAATTCTTACGGCAATATCTCCTTACTACTTATAGACTTACCAATGTATCATTTGATAAGAGCTTTTATTCTCTTTATCGTCATTTTCATCGTAAGTGCATTAATAATAACGATTACTTTCAATAAATGTCATTGTCAGTAAAAAAAAAACAATCGTGGCCACTGTCAAAAAATTATTTCGCACACACTTTGCTAGTTTGTGGGCTTAGATAGGTAACTGAGGGAAATCAAGTTAGTTTTATTTATTATATATATATATATATATCTAATATAACCGTAGAAATATACGAAAAACGGTCATCATAACGAAAGCACCGATTTCACTTCGCGACATACCGAAATTTTACACTTTATAGCCTCTTGCTATGCAAAAGTTACATCGCTGAATAGAGATCGGATAAAATTAAATTTTCCCGAGTTTTCATAGACTATTATGCACCATTACTGGTAGATTCCACATATATCAAGCTATAAACCTAACATTCATTGAGAGAATGACTGTCTTTGGTCAGAACATCAGAAGATTTAAAGCACTACCGGTCAGCTTTATTCTTCACTGGATTTGCATATTTAATTACTTTTGTTTTAATTAGCGGAAGAGTGTCCACTCAGTTCGCTTGGAAAAGACAAGAAATAAAAGTAATCACTTCATCTTGACTAATAAAGACTCATTCTATGCAACTACATAGATATAAAGTTTAGTGGTATACCGAGTGATAACAAATTGATAAAAAACGATAGATGATATCCTCACATTGCAATTGTAATCTAGAAAGAAAAAAAAATTGAGGTATCCAAGCGATTTTTCGCGAAAATTAGTCTTGTATTTCAACAAAGATGCTGACATCAGCATTTGTTTCTGAAAAGGGAAGGAAACGATACATACAGAAAATCAAACATATTTATAAATATCTTAAAACTGCATGGTAAATGGTAACATAAAAACCTCTTTTGGTATGTTTTTAACGACGAATCGTTGCAACCGGCGCTTTTAGCGTCTCTGGCAGCCTTCCTCTGGTTTAGCTAATACAGTCTAAGTACCTTTTGATAAAATAGTTTTAATCAATCGGAGAATAAGTCATAGAATAAGGCATACATACCCAGATTGTGGGGAGATGAACTTTTCTTGGGTCCCAAAACTGGCTGTTTTTATAAGATAACTCTGGGATTATAGCCTGGAGACCTTCTGTTACGGTACCTTGCTTACAAGCAGCCTTAATTTTAACAGTTATATTCTTCGTTCCGGCCTGAAGTTCAATTTCACAGGAAGATTTTGTATCAACCAGATCTACGTCTGGAGGCGTTCGAAATCTTATTTTTGGCAATCCGCGTTTGGTTCTGCCAATCGGTATAGTGGGTGTTATAGTAATTTCTTCAGTGGAAAGTTGACATGATTCCATCGTCACTACACTGGGGTGAAACTAGAAGAAAGAGAAATAAAAGGCATTCCTTAAATCACAGGAGCAGCATCTAAACTCACTCCCAACTTCTTAAAAAGGTGTTGCGGAGAGGAATACTGACAGTAATGATTCAGTTTAGCAGCTCGAGCGCTAGTTTGCTTTTGACAGCTCAAGAGAGATGGCTTAGGGAATGTGGGAGGCGTATCGGGGAAGACAAATCTCTATCATCTCTTTTTTTCTTTTCGACAGAAGATCCAACTAAATACAATATTGTTCAGAAAAAATAGATATCTCTTGATTACCTTCAGTCCTGCGAAGAATGGAGCTCGGATGTTCTTTGTTGGTGACCACACGTTCTTTGGAGAAGTAGTGAACTTTGCAGAGACGTTGCAAACTATCTGTTGATATAAAGAAACAGGTCTAAGTTTCATTTAAGAGTCGCTTCATCTGAATCGCTTGCCCTCGATAACTACGTTTCGTTTCAAATAACAACAAAAAAGTGGCCTGTCTTTTCATAGACGATGATAGCAACAAAAATTGGACTCGCTTTTTTAATCAGATGGTTTGCTTCAAAAGTTTGAATTGAACCCCTCTGGACAAGGTTCTGTTGACTTTCTGCCTTCTCGGTTAATCGCACAAGATGTTACCAGGAAATTTAGTGAAAAAAAAAAGAAAAAGAAAAGAAAAGTGCAGCAATTGAAGGAGATTTGAAAATCATTCAATTTCTTTTATCCACGCGGGGCAAGGAGAGGGCTTGAAGCTACTCCCTCTGAAAATCTTTTGAGTCGTTTATCCAAAGGAGCTCAAAATTAGAGAAGTAGATATTGAAAAGCTCAGTTCGTCTAAAATAGTAACAAAATTGGGTGAAATCTAGCAAAATTGAAAATTCCAAAGCGTGATCCTCAAGACGGATTGAGTCTTTTCAATAACTTTTTTTGGCATTTCACTTTATTTCAAGGAGTTTCAGAACCATGTTCTTTTTGTGCCCCAACAGGAAAATGAAAACATGCCTTTAGCCCTGTATCGACATTTTCCCTCCAAAAACCGTTAGAATTAAGAAAACAAAAAACATACGATTGCTCGGGAGAAAACGTTCTATCAGATGAAAGATCCTAAACATTTACTGGGGTACAGTTTCAAGCCCTTTGTTGGCCCAGTGTGACTTCGTTTTTTTTTTTTTTTTGGCTTTTTTTTTTGTCCAAAGATCTACATTAAAATAGAATTGTTAAGACCTGTGCACTGTACATGTAAAATCAATAATTAAAGTCAATTAAATTTCTCAGAAAAATATAATGTTCTATAAACTTACCCATTGACCTATTCTGTACTTATCAGGTTCCAAAGTAGAACGAACTTTTGCATTGGCAACGCTTTGGCAAAGCTCTCCATCTCCAGAACATATTTCCTCACTTTTTAAAGATTCTCCTTCAGCAAACCAGTCTATTCTGTAGGTCACATTCTTCCACTTCTCTACGCCATTAAAAACATTGACCTCACACAGCAAGGTCACTTCCACTTCCTGTTCACTCCGGAAAGTAATGTTAGGATCTCCAAGGTTGTCACTGGAAAATGCTGTTGGCGGGTCTGACCAAATTGATACAATATAACAAAAATACATATATCTAACAATGATTCCAACAGCGCGCGTTGGATATGAGATGGTGGATAGCCAACGAGGTACGTACGTAATAGGAGGCAGCATGGCCGAGTGGTCAGCGTGTCGGACTTGCAATACCTCGCTCCCGGGTTCGAGTCCCGCCCTGACCACTACCTGAATTTGTTTCACGGTGGCTCCGAGTTCAAATCCTCGGCAATGCTTGTAAATAGCCAACTGGTTTGCCTCCGGCCAGTTGGGATTCTTAACAATGTTATATTCAATTGAATTATTTGTTTATAGCCCACAAGGTAAACTACTGGGTTACCAGTAATTGTGTTACCTATTAAAGTTAATTTTTTTTTTTTTTTAACGCCGAGTTCACTGTAATCGTCTCGTATATGACAGGCGCGGGTGGAAAAAATGTGTTATCAAAAAAACGCCACAAAATAGATAAAACTAAAATGGAACAAAAAATAAAACCGAACCAATAAAAAAATACGCGTACGCTTACCATATTTGTAGAGCACTGTGATCAGTAACTCTTGAATTGCATTGTCCAATGATCCAGTTTTTAATAATATCAAGCAATTTAAGTCAATAAAACATGTCTCGACAGAAACGTCTTTAAATGTCAGTTACATGAACTCGGATGCTAAATTTTAATAATAAAAGGGCACGTCCTCTATGCATGCAAAAACTGTTAGTTTCTGCAGCTGAAAAACTTATTCTCTGAATAAGTCTTGCCCCTACGTGTTAAGATATCAAGCCTTTTAAATAATAAATATCAAAAACAGATACTTTTATTGCAATCCTTTATTATTTACAATCGGGTGTGACTTACCATAACAATCTGGGTGCACTCCTTCTTTTCCGTAAGGACATGGTGTCATGTCACCTAAAAGATGGAATTTGACATAAAAAAAATAAGTCCCTGTCCACACTGCGCCGGAGAAATTTGGAAACACAGCTTTATACCTACGGTTAGGCCTACCGTCTACACTAATCCGCCAGCTTTTCGAAAACGCTCTTCAAACTGGAGTATTTTTAAAGCACCCGCTTTGTGTTTTAGTGTGGACGGAAATTATTTTAAAACGGCACTCTTTGAAAATGATGACGTCACGATCATCACGTAATTTCTCTGTTCGAGGTTTTCTCCAAACACAGATCTAAAATGACCGGTGATTGTTGCTTTTGTAAATTCCTCCGGCGTAGGGTGGAAGGAACCCAAAGAAAATCTCATGACTCTTATTTAGCTACAAAATTATTATTTCATTGGTTTGGCCTAAGATAGTACACGTAGAAATCGCCACAGTTTTTAACATTTATGTCAAAGGTGTCGTCGCAGACGAAGCCAAAACTGTTGATGCATACTTGGCGAACAACATTTCCTTCTGTTACTGTTGGATGGCGACCGTTTAACCAAATAGGGTCATGTGTTCCGCAGCGATATTCTGGCACTGTCTTTTCTGGCATCATCACTTTTTCGCCAGTATCACTTGTGAAGCGATACCATCCGCCTTGCAAGTCGCGATCACACAATGCTGGTTGTCCCGGTTGCCAGATACTCTTGATGCTGCGTCGAGGATCGTTGATCTCTTTGTAAGTTGAGTTGCTGCAGCAGTTATTGCAATTTACTGCCTGACATACTTGGAAATTCAGGTAGATAGCGATCAAAAAGAAACTCAGACAGGCAAGCTGACTGAAGCTCACCATGTTATTAAATCACACTTCAGATGCACAGTTCTTTTTGTAATTGATTTGATCGAGTTCTGGTTACGAATACACCAGGGGGAAGAAGAAACGAAGCTTTATAATCATTACCATGTAGATTTTGATTGGCGAATTTCTTGGATAACAACAAGTTTATGTTCATATTTAATGAGGCATGGCGATATATATGTTCATTTGTAGTTTGATTGGCCAGAGTAGATTTCCCTCGATGCTGAAGGAAGTTCAAGACCGATTTTCTCCATGAATGTTTCAACTTCCCCTTTTAAAACAACGAAAATACGTGCCTTCTGTTAAGCTGAACCGGAAGTAAACCCATGTCTAGGCAGTTCTGTTCCTGAATTTTACATCAGTTTGCTTCAGCGTGTTTTCAATGAGCAAATCGTAAACGAGGCATAGCCGAAATGACTGCGGCAAATAGAAAACGCAGGTGAACAGTCCTATTGTATGAGTGTACACAGTTACCCAGTTCACGAGGAGAGAGTTTAGAGAAACCCAAATTCAAATAATCTGTATAATTTAATCTGTGTAGTTTATAAAAACCTAAATCCAAAGAATTTAAGTATTAAATGTACTTGACTTTTACTGAAGCGATCGCAATGATTGCAGCGATCATATGGATCGAGATCAGCCTCTCTAACAAAGCAAATCCTTTAATTCTGAAGAAAGGAGTGATTCACAACATCTTTAGACGCAAAGGATTCAGTGATTGTCGGAACAAATATCACGGTTTCACGGAGCTCACACTTCTTTTTTTTCGAGAAATGCAAACTGAAGAAATTAAATGATCACTAGATCTTAGGTCTTTATTTCGATAAATAGAACATCGTATCAGTGATTCTCAATACTTTTGAACATCTATCGCCGGATCAAACTCCTCAAACTCGAACTGTACTCGGAAGTTTGAGAAGGGATGCAAGAAGCTGCTTTTGGTGTTGGTCTGTTTGCGACACGTTCAACAGGTTGTTTTTTGACATAATCAATATTTTCCCTTTTAATTGCGTTTTCGATCATTAAAATCCAATTAGTATGCATCACGCGTGTGATGATAGCACTACACGTATACGTAGTTGCATAATAACGTATGTAATGCCTTACCGGAGATGATTCCCAGTAGCCATGCTGGCTACGTCGTAATAATATGTTTTGCACTAGGTTAGCTTCAGTTTTGTGCTTCATTAAATGAACTTAAAACAAACTACTTAACGTCTCACGGCTAAACGCAGTAACCAGTCCGATACGTTCCAGTTTTGTTTCAGGGTCACATACAACAGACAAAGAAGTAAAATGATGTCTGATCGAGTCTTTTCTTCGCTAAGCGTAATTAACTAACAATGGCGCCATTTCGAGATCTAGTAGCTCTAGTGTCCTTATAACATGAACTGTGCGCTATATAGCGAAATGATATCAATAAGGGTGCTTTTCGCTGTTTTTTGGGGATGTATTACCTTTTTTTATTTGCGTGGCACTTTAAATTACTGGTCATACCATATCTGAGGCCGG